TCAATCTTATAAAATTAAATAAGATCTAATTTAAATAAAATAATATCAGAAAATTTATTTTAACAATTTTATTAGACTTTTTACTGTTGAATTATTATCAAACCACATGTAAAAAATAAAAAATAAAAAAGTTCTTCAAGTTTTGCACTCAATAATCTATGCTTTTACATAAGAGAAGTATTACAGGCTTTGCAGAATTAAATTAATTATCAGTGATGTGATTTAATTAAAAATATAATATTTATTTCTCTAAAAATTTATTATATATCTATAGTTTAAAATTGAGTTGGAGTGAGAATATACAAGGGAAATAAAGTATTACATCTTGCGAATAATTATACTATCCTTTGTTATTTTGGAACTTTGATGAATTAATAAATATTATTTCTAAATTTTCTTTTGCTTCAAAATTATTTAAGCATATTTTAGTGTTAATAGAGTAAATTTGGAACAGTGGTTAAAGTATAAAGTGTGAACCCTTACTAATGGCTATAGACTTTTAGTTAAGTGGCTAGCGCTTTGTACCAAACTATTAATATTAGAGCGAGGTCGTGTGTTCGATTCCTGCGAGGATGGAATTGGGACAGCGTGTGGTATGCAACCATATTTGATTTAATTATAAAATCATAACATAATGAAAGTTTAAAAATAATTTATAATAATGAAAATGGGTGATTTTTATGTAATTATTGCATAAAACGTTAATACTCATTAAGGAAGACGGAAAAACTAAAATATAAAATATATTTTATCAATTTTTATTTTTTTAGTTTTTAAAAACTAGGAAACAAAAATAGTTTTTAAACAATGTTAAAAAAATAATTATCAAACCAGTTTTTTTAATTTTTAAAAATAATAAATAAATAAGGCTTAAGTTTTTCTTTGTCTTTTTTTAAACACATATAGTGAAACTCAAATTCAACGTAAGAACCGTAGATTCAACCACGATTTGTAAAAAGCAATTAACATATCCCGTTTAATTTGTTGAATTAATTAACTAATAATGAATTATTAAGAAGTTATTAGTTGTCAACCAAAGAAAAGGATTTGTCTAAGAGAGTAGCTTTTATAGGTCTTAATCTTCCAGCTGGTGGACTCTGATTGACTAGTTTCTGCGACCTATATATACACACAGACACATCATGTGAATTAATATTTTATGTTTTGTTTTATTCATTCGACAAATTGTTTCACTTTCGTTGTTTCAATCTGTTCATGGAATTTTTTCCACAGACTACACATTGGATAACGAACAAAGTGGTGTAAACCAAAACATTCAAATCTCATTGCGTATGTTCATACGTTTTCGTTAAAAAGCAAACCAAACACAATTTGACTAACAAATCGTTTCGTATTTATGTGATGATGACGACTTGCATGAAATCTACAATATTAATGCGTTTTCCCTTTCAACGCTGGATTTTTTTCCTTCACTAGAGCAGGGATTTTGAAGGGAAATTCAGATGAGAAATTATAAAGAAGATATATTGTGTACTGTGGGATTTTTTTTATTGGTAAGAACAACATATTGTTGTGATGATTCTATTGATTTTGTATCAATAGAAATCTCTTTTTTACTATCATATTTTATCTTATAGTTGTGTGTGGTTGGAAATCATTTATTCTTATACTTGTATTTTTTAACCTGTTGGTAATGGTAAGGGTTTAGAAACTATGGATATATTATATAATGTATCACTTTTTATGTTGTCTATCCTAGATAAGGGTTATAAACCTAAAGATACATTAATCAGTGTATCTTTTGGTTGATCATTTATGTCTGTTAACCCTAATATGGATAAGGGTTTTGAAGCTCTAGATAAATTATCTAATGTATCATCTTCTTCATTTAGATAAAAATCATCTAAAAATCTATTTATAATATCGTCAAAAGATACATTATCGATTGTATCTTCTTCACATCCTATGGGATTTATCATAGAAATATTTTCATTGTTAATAATAGTAGAAATATTATGTCTATTATCAACTGACATATCTTGTTCTAGTGAAGGGATTTTGAAGGAAAATACAGATGACAAATTTTTCATATTTCTAATAATTCTCTAATTTAATAAATTTTTAAATAAATTTTTAAATAGAAGAAATAAAAATAATATAGAGTCAAATATGTGTTTCATATAATAAAAATAATATAGTAAAATATTTTGTCTCGATTTTTTAATGATATCAATTATTTCATTAAGTGATACATATAATGTGTATATGATTTTAATTATAGAAAAATATAAGGTCATGACACTAATATAGTCACAAAAGTGATGTTTTTCCTTAATAAGTTTTGAATAATATATTGATGAATTATTTTCATAAATACTATTACATGATATTTAAATTCACACGAACATAAAGACCCATATAAAATAAACCTAATTACTTATATAAGAGTGATTAATAATGGACGAAAACTAAACAAATAAAATTAATTATACTAAATACAACAAATTTTTATCATATAATTATTGTATGAAAAATATATGCTACCCAATAATAAATTAAAATAACCTTAAGGTGCAGTTTCTTTATTTATTATAATGAAATTAAATTATCAAAGGGTGTATACATCTTAGTTTTAATTTTACAAACCATTACTCATTTAAATCTCATGTACGGACTGTTGCAAAGAATAATCAACTACACAAAATCAATTGGTTTATTGTTTCTAATTCGATATTTACGTAGCATTCACGTTTATAGAACTAACAATTTGACACACACACATATGCATAATTTCGATGTTCATGTAACATGGTTCTTATACCAGATAAAGTATTTGTGACAACAACATTATATAAATTAATGAGTAAAATAATTTTAACTTATAAAAAAAATTAATTTTATTTTTCTCATCTTATTTTCTCATTTTAAATGTCCTCCTAAATAAGTCGGTTAAAAAAAATACCCTTAAGTTGAGAATGGAATATAAATCTATGGGTACCCATGTAGCCCCTAACGTGATTCGAAAGGAAAACAAATGTTTTTTAATCAAGTTTAAGTTTGGCAATGTTACTTCACGTCCCATCTTCACTATAATTTATTATTACTGAATATATTTATATATATTTGAGTTCACATTTTATTTTTATACTTTCATCTATTATAATAATAATAATTAAATAACAAACATAATAGATTACTTGTTTAAATTAAAATATTTAACAACGTAGTATATAATTCGTTTAAAAATGTATAATTTCTTAAATTTATAGAAAAGTGCAACAAATTTCTTGCATGTTTCTGAAATTAGACAAGAAAGTTGATTTTCGTTGCTATTATTAATAGCTATGAATCTACTATAAGGATTGAACTTACTACAGTCCTAAAATACTAGGCTTATCATTCAGTTCAGAATGTATTTTTCACGTTATAGACTAAATGAAAGGTGTATTTTTTAGGCAGTAGTAGGTTTTATTCAGTACAGTTAAACTCTGGTACTGGAAAATTTACAACTAACGTACATTGGTAGACCCTCTTGGTCTAGTGGCAGTGATATATGATGTTTGGAAACCAAAATTTTATTTTCGAAGGGTGTGATTAGCAATTATCAAATTGTGGTTACCAAATTGAACAATAATAATAAGTTGCCCAAAGACCCAATTTCAGAATATATACAAAACAAATAATAAGAGGACGTGGTGCATGACTTGATTAAAGAGAAACAAACCGTTGTGGCAATAGTAGAATCAAGTCACAACACAATCCTTATTTATTCTGGTTTGCCAACACATTATTCATCCTTGAAGGGAAGCTTGAAAAATACTGCATACTCTAAGGACTAAAGCCCCAACTAGAATTTGTGGAGTTATGAAAATGTATCACCAGGAGCCGGGCCTGCAACAACAATCAGAATATTTCATATCAAAAAAATGAGGAAATCCTTAGCCCTAGAACCAGGAGAGAAGACAAAACAAATCGTATTCTGTAAAGAGACCACTTGGACGATGCCAACATTAGCTCCAACCAGTTTTACCAAAGAGTTGCAAACAAGGGTTTGCACGCCAAAGGATTCCTCTAAAGTGAGCTTGGTTCTAAATTAAGTAAACTTAAATCTTCTTTTTGCCCCTCGTAGTTTCACTAATATGCAATTTGATAGCAAATTTGGTCCTCCATTTAGTTCAACATTAATATATCATTTACTTGCTAACAGAAAATGCTAACATATTTTTAGAGATAAACAATAGGTGCTAAACTTACGTGAATAAATAACTCATTGTAATGGACACATCAACATTTTCGGTTAATAATTAAATGATGTATTAATAATTGACAAAAATTTCTTAATTCTGAAAAATGGAAGACTAAATATGTAAACAAAATTACGCAATCAAGATATTATGATGAATCAAAAGTGGATTTAACCTAAGTAATACTGTATCCATTCGTCCACTGTTAATAAAGTGCAACACAATCTTAACCATTAAGGGTGCATTTGGGAGTTGAATTTTGGAGGTTAGAGGGAGGAGGACAAATCTTACATTTCTAATAATTATATAATTTAAAAATATTTAAAATAAAATATTAAATTACCATAACTTAATGTGCTAACATTTTATTTATTTTTATAAACATTAAAGATCTAAGGGGGTATACACCTTACTCGATTTTAAAAGATAAGCTCACTTTAGAGAACTTTTTTCCATTTACTATTTACATCCTTGTTTTTTTTACTAAGTGGAGTGTCACGCATATTACTCACTTCAATTCTCATAAAGATTGTTCTAAAGAATAGTCAACTATACAAAATCAAGCGATTTATAGTTTCAGAATTAGATATGCAGATTGCATACGCATTTGGAGACGAACAATTAGACACAGATATGCATAATGAAGCACGTTGAAGCAAATTTTGATATCCATGGAAAATGTTTCTTATATAAGACAAAATTTTGTGGGGACATTAGATTCAGTAAGTAAAACATATACAAATAATGGCACGGAATAGAAAACCAGAGTACCTACCTGAAGGAGTTATATGAAGCCTAAGAGGCAGTTTGTGTCAAACTTCCTATTGTTTTTCGATCAAAGATTTCAATCCAGTATCCATCAGGATCCTTGATAAAGGCTATACCTTTCATTTTCCCTGCAGAAAATTATTCAAAAATAAAGATCACTTGATAGTAATATTTGAAGCAGTAATGCTGGGAAAAATCTCTGATGGAATCAGAAAAATCCAGACATCTACCATTAATTTGTGAATAAGCTACTAAAGATTGCAGCAAATTATTGTCAGCCCAACTGCCAGATAACTGTGCAACTAAATTTTGATCATTTTTCTTTGATTATTGCGCTACCACTAGCATCAGATGACGGTACCACCAGCATCATTCAGAAGCCAAGTTTTGGTGTATGGTGGTTTCAATTAAAGTTTCGTAATTATGTTATATACATTAATTAGAGAACCTAGCAGAATTACTACATGCCTATGATCGTACCCCATCTCTTGCACTTTATACTTTAACAAGAGAAAAAAGTTAAACAAAACAATGTCCCCTCCAAAACAGAAATTTTCTTCTATCTCTACGGGAAAAGGAGTGGAAGGTATATACTAGGAGAAAAAATACTAGGCTGGCTATTAGGACTATTAATATAATAAAGGGCAGATAGGAAAATGAGGGTGATTATATATATTTAGCAATGCTGAACCTGTGGACAACAACCAGATTTTATTCTTATTATCAACTGAATCACTTAGTTGTAAGGAGACGGTCTCTGGGCAGCCACACAATCATACTTTATCCCTTTCGAGTTTTTCCTAGTTTATCTTTTGTGATGGTGTACAATTGTTCTTTCTGTGATCCACCAATTTGGTCTGGCCTGCCGTTATCATGGATGCCACCTTGAATGCTTTAAATCCTGCTCGGACATTCTTGTGAAATTTGTCAGCGATGATAGGCAACAGCCGGTAGACATGTGCTAGAATATGGCATCCAGCAAATCCAAGGTGACTTCAAAATCACGGGATGTATTGGGGTGGACAATGATGACCGTGAGACAGTAGAACAGTGTTTTGGTGCAACTGCTGTCATTTGAAGGTGCTGATCAAATGGGGTGGATGCAAAGGCAGACAAGTTTTAGCATTTTTAAGGTGCAGCAATCAATCCGGCTGAATGGTTCCACCTCCCCTTCATCCGCATGGATGATGCCACAGTGCATTCGTACTTTTGGTGCCAAAAGATCGATGACTTTTTCCAGGTTCAGCCTCTCCTAGCAGGGCCTACTATTTTAACAGACTGAAGGAGTCTTTTAACCAACGCAGGGAAGGTTATTCAATAAATTAAATGCATTCTTTGGATTATTACTTTCAATCCCAAGTAACACCGATGTGAATGTCAAGTTGACGACTAAAAAGCCATATACTACATAGCCTACTTGAGTCAAACCCAAGCTTTTAAGATTATATTTTAACACCAATATTGTAAAAATTTTAATATTTCACTGCCATGTTATCTATTTACATCTCTATAATTACACACAGATGCCATCACGCACATGAATTACCCAAAAAATATAAAAATAAATTATCCTGTACGGAACAAAAACAATTCATGTTGTCCTGTATTGTACAACAGACATAAAACACAAACAGTTCCTGGCTGTTAAAACTGACAATGATATATTCCAAAATGTCGGAACCACTATGAATTGAAAACTAGAGAAAAAAATTTACCGTCGTCTGGTTTCTTAACAAACTCAACTCCCAGATTCTGAAATCTTTCGCATGCCTTTAATGTGTCATCAACAGTTATGCCAATGTGTCCTGTAATCAGAAAGACAACTAATTATTAGAATTTAGTCTCCTATTTATCCAATAAGACAAAGAGTACTATAAATAAATACAGTAAGAAATATAATCACTTACAGCCATGTTATGTTAGTGACACGAAAACTAGCATAAAATATAGCCAGAACATAGCAGTTAAAAAATAATAATTACAATCATGTCCATGACATGAAAACTAGGACACCTACACGAATCATAATCCTAACTAAAAAGGAAAACAAAATCATGAGATGTGGAAATATGGTAGCCAATCCTAATAGAAAATGAGGAAATGCAGAGACAAAAAACCTAAGATATTCTCAGGTATGCTAAAGATAATATTGGATGTTTTCACAGGATCTAACATTGTTTAGTTACTACAAACATTTCAAAAAATGAAGGCCTACGAAATTCATCATCCAATGAAATAAATGTCTCTCTTGACCTTTAAAGAGGAAGTCAACAATTGTGTTACAGTGTCCAAGAGAAACTTTTAACAAAAGGTGTATACAACTCTGTATTTCATGAAAAATGTTAACACGAAGCATCAAATAAGGACCTAAAGTTTGTAACTCTATAAGGGCACAAGAATAGTAGTCAGCAATTCATCATTTTTCTGAGATAACAAACTGTAACCAGCAAATCAAGAAAATACCAAGGCTTTATAGTCACAATCTGCACCAAGGCAATTACCAAATTAAATTAATAAAAATATCACACATACCAAAGCCGCGAGGTTCAGAATTTCCATTGTGGTACCCTTTGAACTCTGGATCACTCTCAGTACCCCAATTACTGCACATTATGTCATTGTTAGATAAGAGAGTCACGGATAAAGAAATAAGACAAGTTTATAATCCTTACTGTGTCAGTTCAATTGTAGCCTTCTGAGAAAAGGTCCAAACTGTTTTTTCAACTGGATTACTAGGAGCTTCTGATGTATCCTAAACAAACAAAAAATGTAAAAAAAATATCAAGGGCATACCCATGGCAATAAGATAAAAACTGTGACATGAGCTTAGAGAAAGTTGATATTTAAGAATTATTTAGAGCAGATTGAATAATACCATCACAGTATATACATAACCCACATCCAGTAATCCAATAAACAAAACTAAATTTTCACCCACAAATAGGTACAAAATATATGCCACACCTCATAGCCCATAAAGTACAGGCTGAATTTCATCTCTGGAAAATCCAGCCTCTTAAGCAAACTACAACAACCAACAAACTGTCATTAGCATTATAGCATTGACAACTGAAGAAGAAATTCAAAATAAATAAAAAAAATCCGTAGATAGACACATAATATTTGTGAACATAAAACCAAACCAAGGCAATTCGTTACACTGGACACAGTATATTAGTTCAAATTTAATTTTAATAGTGTCAGTATAAAGATCTTTATGGTGTCAATTAATCGAAAACAATTTTAGATATGACTTTTAAAATAGTTATTATAAAAGGTAAAACGTCAATATTATTTTCACTTCAAATTCACTCTTATTTTCTATCATTTCTATTTCTATTCTCTCTATCTATTTTTATTTCCTCTATCATTCAATGGGAATGTTAATGTCAATCTTAGATTTTATTATAGTGTCTCATTCTAATTAAATCCTATTAGTTTTGCAGAAAAGGTTATGTTCATTTTCAAGCACTAACAAATAACAAAGTAAATAACCAACAAAAGGAATGTTGTATTGTATGTAAAAGAGAAAACTTACGACATGCCCAAGACGCGAGAATAGAAATCAAGGCTCACTTTGGGGTCCTTGATTCGAAACATCTGCAATTGAAACCACAGTTAAAAATTCAAAATGGAACTCCTGAAACATACAACCAAAATAAGCATAAGATAAAATAACGGCTCACAGTTTGTTGCATGATGTAACCCTTGGTAGCTTCGTCAGGAGTTGTATGCAGACCGGGGTTGTTGGCAGGCGATTCCTTGGGTTCCGCAGCCATTGAGAAGAACCGTAATCGATTCGATTTCTGCAAAAACGAAAAAAAGAGACGAGAGTGTTCACCATACAAGCATACAAGAGTGAGGCATTGATTAAAAGAAGGGGTTTGGAACCTTAGTTTTGGGGGTGAGAGAAAAATAGGATGGGATTGAAAGAGGTGATAGAAGGGATGGGGAATTGGCGATGAATCGGAGGCGAGAAAGGCGATGTAAGGAAGCTATGGTTGCCATTTGTGGACTGGTATTTATATGAAAGAGAGTAACTTTACCTTAAGATGTTGAAGTAGATGAGGATGAGAGAAAGGTGCCAATGCCTGTGAGTGCAAACACACAAAATTGTGAATATTATTTTTCTTGTTCTTGGTCCTTTTTAAGTTTATAGTATATTACTTATCATCAAATGAATTTGTATTCTTAATTTTAAACATTTTTCCATATTTTCCTCAATTATTAATTTACTCCTATTGAGTCCAATGAATGATGTGATAAAATTGATTATGATTGAAATTTTTAATACTCCAATATAAATCAATTGAAATTGTTAATGTTTCAACATAAAATTAATTGGTTACATGGGACTTTTAACATGTTTCTTTAATGAGATTTTAGTTCTAATATTATGTTAAGGTTCTAACATAAAACCAATTAGTAATATTAACATGCTTTTTCAACGAGATTTTGATTTTAATATTATGTTAAAGTTCCAACATAAAATCAATTAGTAATATGTGAAATAGTCTAATATGAATTTAAATTATATAATATGAGGTAGGATTTTCAACCGAAAAAATATGATAATATTGGGATATTAATATAAATTCTAGTAGTCACTGTCATTGAGGGATGTAACTATAGATAAAATATAAAAATTAAAAGAAAATAAAAATATATAAATAATAGTAATATTATTTAGAATATATTACTTCTTGACATTTGTTTAGTAAATAAAATAAATATAATAAAAGAATGAGGGAGATAATAGTTAATTATTTTTAATATTTAGTACATATTATGACAGTGAAAAGGATGACTTTTTTATGGCAAAAATTATAAAAAGGTGTAATTTTCAAAAAAAAATCATATTTTAAAATAATATTCATTTATTTTTATTCATAAATGTCATGCAATATAGAATTTTTTATTTTTTATTAAAATCATACATTAATACACTATTTCTATTAAAATTAATAAAGTTATATAATTAAGTTAAATTTTAATACAAATTAAATAATCTACGTTACGACTTTTATGAGTAAAAAATAGATGATATTAAATTGTATGAATTTTTTATGAACTTGTTTAAAAGTCCCACTTTTTTTCTTTTTTTCGTTTTTAAATGTACATTTCAATAAATTTTATAGTGAATTGCATTTTTTATACTACTATTCAAAGTATATATATGGGTTAAGATAGTCAAATCCGTTTAATATATTTTAACTAAAATTTTTATAATACACGAATTGTCTAACATTAAGTATAAAAAAAAATACGTGTATATTTTAAAATGGATTCCAAAATTAAAATTTTATTTTATTCTTATAAAATTAAATTTTGTATTTATTTTGATACCTTATTGTTATGTTTGAGACAATATTTTTGGTGTTCATGTCCCTGATGTTAAATGACAACATGTTCAAATTCCCTTCTATTAAAGGTAAAATATTGTAGATTTTGCTTCCTTTTATTTTATTTTCCTGCAACTCCACATTTATGTTTGAAGAAATTTTTATATTCATGAAGAACAAATTTGAAGGCATGGAATGAAAGTTGCAAGGGTAAAAAATCAAAATCTGTTGAAATACACAAATTTCCCGAGCTTCTTCTACCGAAAGATATGGTATGAATTCTAACATCGAAATTTTTTGTTGGGCAAATATTGACTTTATTATTATTTAAATAATGAGTCTTTCAGATACTATTAATAAAATTTAAAATTACTTACATTATTGCATCAAGCAATTGAAATTTTTCTAAGAAAAAGTAAATGATAAAAAATTTAATAAGGCATGAAAGATATCAAACCTACAAATAAAGATGTATTTATTATAATAAAACTGTGATAAAAAATAATAAAAAGTATGATGATAATAATAATTAATTTGTTGACAATAATTACAGTGATTATTATAAAAATCATGTATGTAGAAATTGATATAATATCTATAGCGTAGTAGTGATTGGTACAACAACTATGATGATAATGTTAAAAGTGATAATTATTAGAATAAGAATAGTGAAGATTATAGTAATGAAGTGTGGTAACTAAAAGTTATGAAAAACAATGAAGATGATGGGATTGGTGGCCACCAAGAATAAGAAATATACTACATTAAATATAATACAGAATAGGAAAAAGAGAATGATATATGGATAATACACCAAATAATTTATCATAAAAAATAATATATAAAATATATTATATCCCTAGATTAGTCATTAAATTTTACCTTCTATTTTCTTACTTTAAAACTCTTAAATTAATGACATATTAGACTTTTAATTTATAATATATGTATGTGAGAGGTGGTTCAAATATAAATCATAGTGCAAAATTAATACCAATATAATTATTTAAAAATAAATGAATGATACACAATTTAAATAATATATTCTTATAAAAATATTTAAAACTATAATGATTTTCTTACTTTAAATTAATCGATAGTGAAAACAAATGAGCCCTATATTTTTTATAAAAGAAAATATAAATAAGATGGTAAAATTATTGATTAATTAGACAATTTTGTATATGGTTCTTGTTAAATAGTGATTATTTTATTTTGTTATTGAAATATGATTTGAATATATGCATTCGAGTAATAGGATTATGAAATCAACGTGATCGAATTATAAGAAATTGGAATCAATGTGATAGAATGGTAAGATATTGAAATCAACGTGATTGAATTATAAGATCATCGAATCAAGATGATCGAGTTGTAGGATCTTGGAATTAACAAAATATAATATTTTAAATTAGAATTATTTTCATTTTTATTTTAATATATAAATATATTTTAAAAACTATTGGTGAGTCGGTGCATCCAGTTCCATCCTTGAACAGATGATCTAATAAATTAGCCAGAACAAAAAAATGATTGACAAGGTAAAATATGTCACGTCAACGTGTGTTAAGAGAATTATTTTTTTATAAAAGAATATTTGAGATATTATTAATTGAAAGAAATAATTAAAAAAATATTTTGTTGTAAAAAAAATAATAAGAGAAATTGTAACTTGATTCTATGTCAACTAAAAATTACAGTTAAATATAATAATATATTTATATGGTAAATTTGTTAGATTAAAAACAATTGAAGATTCTAAAATTTGATATTAGCGAATAATCAAACATATTTTTTAATACAATTGAAGATAATATCATGTGTAAAATTCTAAGTGAAAGTTTTACAGACTAACTATATCATTATCCAAGGACTTTAATAAAACTGTTTTATGCTTAAATATGACAAAGTGTTGTTGAACAAGTTCATATTGGATTTGTGCAATAAGAAAGATTTAGCTAATGTACCATAGAAGGCAAAATCAGAATCGTAATTACTTAATGCAGTCTATCTGAGTAAACGAAGTTAATTACTCTTTAAAAATGTCAACATAATACATTCTTCTTCGTATATCACTATCATCTTTACTTCACACGTAATTACTAATGCAATACGAAAACAACCGTTCATGTCTCGTTACCATCTCCCACCCAATCGACGACTTTCGCACAAGGAAATTAAATATCATCTTATCCACACATACAATGATTAGTGTTTGAGTTTGAGATATATACTATTACTTATTCGTAGGATAGGCTATAGCATGTTTGCGCCCTCAGCCTGTGAGAAGCTGGTTTCGTCTCTGAACACCCATTTATATGACCAATTCATCCAATGATATTTGAATAATTAATTCTACAATGCATCGATCCGGGTACGGTAGCGACGGAATATACAGGTCTCTAAGGCCTTCCTTGGTTCTTCCAAACAACCCCAACCTCTCCCTCGTTTCATTCCTCTTCCAGAGCGTTTCTTCTTTTCCATCCAACACCGCTCTCGTCGACGCTCACTCTTCTCAGACCCTCTCCTTCGCGCAGCTAAAATCCCAAGTCGCCACGCTCGCCCACGGTTTCCTCAAACTAGGCATAAACAAAAACGACGTCCTCCTCCTCTTCGCTCCCAACAGCATCCACTTCCCCGTCTGCTTCCTCGCCGCCACCGCCATAGGAGCCGTCGTCTCCACCGCCAATCCCATTTACACCGTTCACGAACTCTCGAAGCAAGTCCAAGATTCCAACCCCAAGCTCGTCATCACAGTCCCAGAATTATGGGACAAAGTCAAAAACCTCAACCTCCCCGCCATGATTCTCAGCACCACCAACCTGCACGACTCTAAAAGTAAGACTCCCAAGGCTTAAGTTTTGGGTTCCATCGAAAAGAAAACAATATTTATTTATTGTTAGTATTATAAGATTCAACAAAATTTCTTTCTTTTTTTTTATTAACGTTTATCATAAATTTCCATGTATACATATAAATGGGTTTTTCCTATATGTAATCTCACTGAAAAACTTGATTTACCATTTTTATTTCATTTTTTAAATATATGTAATATTAGAATAAAAAAGTTTGATTGAAAAAAATCTCATGGGTATTTATGTGTTATTATTTACCTTCCTAGAGTCTGGTAATGATTAGATTCTTTTCTCATTTTGTAATCATGAATTTGCTATATTAGATTAGGTGTTGATTTGACTGGGAGGAGGGTACAACTACGTATCAGTGTTTATCTGATAATAAAAAAAAAAAAAAAAAAGTTATGCCTAAAAGAAATTGAAAAAAAATGTGCAACTTGATGTAATTTGCTCTGGCTTTTCACACACTAATGGATCCAACATGCAGACGTGGCACCGAACATCACGAGTCTCGATGCGGTTATGGAGATGGCGGGGCCGGCGACGGAGTTGCCGGAGAGCGGCGTTAGGCAGGGGGACACGGCGGCGCTGTTGTACTCCTCGGGGACCACGGGGCTGAGCAAGGGCGTGGTCCTGACGCACGGGAACTTCATCGCGGCGTCGGTGATGATCGGCATGGACGACGACCTAGCCGGGGATGTAAACGACGTGTTCCTCTGCGTTTTGCCGATGTTCCACGTATTCGGGCTGGCGGTGTTGACGTACGCGGCGCTGCGGCGAGGGAGCGCGGTGGTGTCGATGGGGAGATTCGAGTTGGAGGCGTTTCTGAATGCGATTGAGAAGTACAGAGTGACGAAGCTGTGGGTGGTGCCTCCGATCCTGCTTGCTATGGCGAAGCAGAGTGTGGTTGGGAAGTATAATCTGTCGTCGTTGAAGCGTATTGGGTCGGGTGCTGCTCCTCTTGGGAAAGATTTGATGGAAGAATGTGGCAGGCGTTTTCCTCATGTAGCCGTTTGTCAGGTTATTCATACCTTTTTCTAACAATGTTATCGCATGCCACTATTTTTGTCTCTCTGCTCCTCATAGAAATTAATATTATCTTTTATTTTCCATCATACTATTTATTACATTCACTTATTTTTCTTTACGTTTACCTTGTTTTTGCATTAGTGTTTTAGTTGTTTAAGATGTAATAATTATGTAGTGTCTTTGTTGTGTGTTCTGTCAGGGCTATGGCATGACAGAGACTTGTGGCATTGTTTCTGTGGAGAATCCAAGAGTAGGGATTCGTCATACTGGCTCAACGGGAATGCTGGCTTCGGGAGTGGAAGCTCAAATAGTAAGTGTGGATACACAAAAGCCTCTCCCTCCAAGACAACTGGGGGAAATATGGGTACGAGGTCCTAACATGATGCTAGGTAAAGACATACCAAGATGTTCCATTTATGCTTATTCGTTAAATTCTTAATCTCTGATGTCTAGTACCTCTTAGTCAGTGATTAAAAAAAGAGAATAAGATTTATGCTTTTGACACAATCAGATTACATGGTGGTTGTCAGTTTTTATTGGACTTGGATTTTAATTTTTAAAACAATGGGCAGAGTAAGTTCGTAGCTGAGTTTCCTAAGCCACTGTCTACTAGTGTCGTAGTTTGGTCTTAGTCGGCGAGTTGTGTTCACTCTGTACCTGACAGTTTCATCGTGTCTAGTCTCTGTTCATACAGTTCCACATTTATCTTCTCCATGCTCCCCTTCTGCTCTTCCTTGTCTAGAAAAAAAAAAAAAAAAAAACTGTGCAAGTCTAGATGTCACATATTATTGGCTTTTGAAATCAAATAAGGAAGCAGGACAAAAGCATGTATTAAATAAAGGATGTAGCCAGTTATTTTGTTAAAATTATTACTAAATATCTGAAATTTTTTTATTGTGTTACTCTAATCTTATATTTGAACCTATTGACCACTGTTCTATGATGGATTTATTTGTAGTTGAGAATATACAAATACACCACTTAACTTAAAAGGAAAATTGTCTCCACTGTCTTATATCCGCCATTGGATGTGGCCATGCTAGATTCTTAAGACATTAATACCATCATCGTATTGTAATGTTCTTGGTGTGGTTCTAAGGATATAGTAAGAAAGAGCCTTGTGGTATTGGAAGATTGAACATTAATTGTGTAATGACCCCTCTCTAATCTAACTGAAGGCTTGAGTATATTTGTAAACCCTCTGCACTCAGTACTAATTTGTAAAGGGCAATATAAACTGTGGTGGCTTGGATTGTATTCTGATAAAGTCTGGAACTTTTTACTTGTCTTGACTTTCTAATTGAAGACTGTAATTCAGATTCTTCTTTCCCTCAGTTTTCTGCTGGCATGTGAGCGATTAACATATTTTTACTTTATGGTGTTTGACATTAATTCGTTGTATAGTCTTTTCCTATATTTAGTGCAAACTATTACAAAATTTTTCAGGTTATCACAATAATCCACAGGCCACGAGATTGACTATAGATGAAAAGGGGTGGGTGCATACAGGAGATCTTGGATATTTTGATGAAGATGGACAACTTTATGTGGTTGACCGTATCAAAGAACTAATCAAGTACAAAGGTTTTCAGGTATATGTAGTGCAAACACCATGTCAATAATGAAAGAAAAATTTTCTGTTATGCAATCATTTCATGGTTATATATCTGAAATCTTAACCAAATCTTTGTCAGTCTCGGTTTACCTCACAATCCAAGATAGTGAGGTGTTGAAGGACATTAAGCAAATTTTACATGTGTTACTCTGTTTATGTAACTATTTTTTAATATTCTAACCCTTCTGCTTATTCAGGAGAATAATCTTACTGAACTATGATCTGTTTGTCTCTTTGTAACTAGGTTGCACCAGCTGAACTCGAAGGGCTTCTCATTTCTCACCCTGAAATACTAGATGCTGTTGTTGTCCCGTAAGTATCATATAAATGATTTATAGTTCGATTTTAGTCATCATATGTTATCTATTATTAGGAATTCACACTGGAGTAATTTCCTTTCACTAGATATCCCGATGATGAGGCTGGTGAGGTTCCAATTGCCTATGTTGTTCGCTCTCCCAATAGTTCACTGACTGAAGAGCAAATTAAGAAGTTTATTGCTAATCAGGTAAGAGAAAGAGTTTGACTTTTTACTGTCACTCACAAAATAAATATACTCTCTTGCCAAGATACGACTAGAGTTGATTAAGTGAAAATATAGTGAATTTTTGTCAAGAAAAAGAAAAAGGAGGTGCTTGCTTTAAGAGAAAATTGCTTCTTTCTTCCTTTGGTTCTATGTTTGAACTTTCTCTTGTAGAAAAGTAGTCATTTTGTGTGTTCTAAACCATGTTTTCACTAGTCACATCTGAATGATTGCTCTATGTGCATATTTGCAGTTGTTACTCATTTACCCTTGTTTACAGGTTGCACCGTTCAAAAAATTGCGAAGGGTGACATTCATCAATAGTGTTCCAAAGACATCTTCAGGAAAAATTCTTAGAAGAGATATAACTGCAAAAGCACGATCCAAAATTTAATTTCTTTTGGAGGGTCAAAACAATTTCTGAGATAGAATGAAAATTCATGGTGCATCGGATTAGTAGATATGCCCAATCAAGTTTAAAATTAAAACCACACAAACAATTCCTACACACAAACAATTCCTACATAGTAACATTTCTTCGCACATAAATGTTGTAAATTTTACTGTGAACATTTACTCCAACTGAAAAAAGGAAAGCAAGAAAGTGAATTTGATGTTTGTATACTAAATTTAACTATCTTAAGGGTTAGAAATGATTAAACTAAGAAAGTAAAAAAAAAAAAAAAGGAGTTTACTTTCTATCATAAGTGTACATTTTGAGGTCGGTATTCTTAGAGTCTACAAATTTAATATATTTATTAATTTGTATTTATATCACAATTTGTAAACTCTCTGCAAACACATTAATTTCATGAATTGTTTTTTACAATAAATTACTATCACTCATTTGAATTTTAGTTGTTTTTAAGCTTAACTTGGTAGTTTTTAATTAAATTAATAACTTATAAATATTTGAAAAAATTATGAGTATCACTGTTGTTCAAACATAACATAAGTCAAATATTTTGATTATTTAATTAAAAGATCATTATTCTATCATAAGGGATATAATCACTCATCTCTCCTAATCACTTACACCTTTAATTAAGACTAATTTGAATTTCAGAGTTATTGCAAGTTATATCTCCTCGAATTCTTTCAACTTTGATGTTGAGGTCCAAAATTCAGTAGTTAATCTAAATTAACTTTAATTTCTCATTGAATCAGTGAATTCAATGGACAACAAACACCTTTCTCACTTTAAAGCATTAGAACTAAAGATTACATAATTATAATTGATCAAAGAATCAAAATACTCATTAGTAAAAAAAATATTTAATAATAATTTATTATCACGGTTTTATCTATCTGTCTTAATAAATGAAGTGGTTAGATCTTGTGTGCTTTCTTCTCCATAATTTGTCTTTTTCGCGTCCAAGATCTCGTTTTTTTTTTTATTATAATTTTCATTTCTATAATTTTTTATTTATTTATTTGCTTCATTTTATATGGAGGGAGTGAGTTTCCTTCTTTTTTTTAGTCGTTAGAATGTAAATTTTTTTTTATAATTTTAATTTTTTGTTCTAGCTTATTTAAATTTTTATCATGGTTTTAGATTTTCTTATTTGATTAATTGTATTTTTTCTTAGAGATACATATAAATGAAAATTTACATAAAACATAAATGGAAAACTTTCGACGCAAAAATGTTTAATAAAATGTTTATAATAATTTCGGTAATGTAAAAAAAAATAATGTGAAATTTTCTATAATGATTAACACTAAAGCTTAAAATCAATGTTAACGAGGAGAGCACAACTGATAACCGAAATCAATCTTAAGACAAGTCTACCGATTCTCCCAGGAAAAATAAACATAACATTTTGTTTTTTTTTTTAAATCATATTATGAAATTTTTATTACATATGAATGATTAGTAATCTTTGTAATAATAATAAAAATGATTTTTAATAATATATATTTTTATTTAATATGTTAGATGATCGATCTAAATAAATAAAAAATGAAAGAAAACTTACAACATTATTTTTAATTTCTTTACAAAGAGAAATAATACAGAATAGAATTTGTGATAAAAAATATTTATAAATTATAATTATATCATTTTACCTATATTTGGTACCATCTTCTTAAAATGAATAAATAAATAAATAACTTGCAGTTTCAATCATCTACTCCAGTGTCAAAGTGACATCTCTCGTGTATATACAATGAATGCGAAAAAAAGAAAACAAAGTTTACATTCAATCCTCTAAATTTCAACTCATAAGTCACCTCCTTTGTCTATTCTTATTAACATAAGATGGAAAGTAATATGTTTGGTGAATTTTTATATTCTAAATATTAAAAGGTATTTTTCTATTGTTATTTTTTGGTAGAAGATTATGTATATAAAATATTTTTATATATTGAGTCTTAAATAATTAGAGATGTTATTCCTTTAAAATTTTAATTATAAAAATATAAGTATTTAAGAGTTTTAATCATACACTAGCGTTGTTTTTGTTTTTGTTATTTTTAATGTGTAAAATTTAACAATAGAAAAATAATATTGTAATCATTGAAAACTTATAAAATAATTTGTTAAAATCACACTTAAATTTAATTATAGATATTTTATTCAATAAAAATAATTATGCTAATAGATAAAAGTATGAATTTGAATGACAATATAAAATAACATTATAAATACGAAATATTATATATTATTAATAAATTGTAAAGATGCTAAAAATAGCTTATTACATAAAAAATATTGACATTTAAATACTAAAAATGTTTTCGTATGATTAATATTTCTCTTCTAACAAAAAATTAATTATAATTACCAATCTAACTTAAAGATAAAAATAAAAATTATTAATTTGTACTTTTAATTTTTATTCATTACTCATGATAATCAAAGCACAATTATTTACGCAATAACTTTTCAAAATTTATTTTATTTTCAATATAAATTTTTATCAATCAATCAATCAAAATATAATTTTATTATATATATATATATATATATATATATATATATATATAAATTATTTAAAAATAAAACGTGCATCCAGTAAACATGCTAGTTATATATGTAAACTAACTTTGAAGGATTTTTCTTTTGTGTAACCAATCTATCCAAAAATGGCAGAGTAAAAAATTATATAAGTAAATTTTACAATTGAAATAAGCATAATTTAGTGAAAATGAAATTTGATATAATTTTTTTCATTCAATTATATACGTGAAAAATGAAAAGTGATAATTTAAAAAAAAAAAAATTATTTTTCTTATATTTTGAAATAATTATTTATGCTTTAGTTACAAATGTGAAAGTGTTCAATTTATGGCTATTTTGTAAGTTGAAAAAAATGGCACTGGTTTCATTTTTTTAAACTCTTCTATAGTTTTAGTTTTAATAATTAAGTTTCTCTAACATTTTAATTTTTACTAATATTTTTTGTTAGCTTCAAATGTTGATCAAGTCATTAATTCGTGTTTTGGAATTAATGTCAAACTTTATTGGAATTGCTGTGTCATGTGATAGTGTCACCAGATATAACAAATCTTTTACGGTGTGTTTGTTTGAACTGATTTGCGATGAAATACTGTTCACGACGACAGAAACACGAGATTCACCCACATTTGGTTGAACAGATTTGCGAAGAAATGCAGGCGAGGAAATGCGTGAGAGGGGAGAGAAGCTTTCTTCGCTAATCTGCGAAGAAAAGCGACGAAAGTCTGCTGGAGATAAAGAAAAGTCCAAGTTACCCTCTTCCATATGATAGCGGTTAAATCTTAACCGCTATTATATATCACTTCTAATAGCGGTTAAAACATAACCGCTATTATATATCACTTCTAATAGCGGTTATATCTTAACCGCTATTATATATCACTTTAGATAGCGGTTACAGAGGAACCGCTATTATATCCTCCAATTATGATCGATCATTTCATAAATCTAATCGATCAGAATCATATTTCGCTCGAGCGAGATATAGTCGCTCAAGCGAAAAACTAGTCGAGCCTCAATAAATTAAAATATAGTTGTATATGATAGCGGTTCCACTGGAACCGCTATCTAATATACACTTTAGATAGCGATTACTGAGGAACCGCTATCATATACAACAATTATGATCGATCATTTCAACTTATGATCGATCAGGATCGTATTTCGCTCGAGCGAGATATAGTCGCTCGAGCGAAATACGGCTTATGAGCTCACGCTTTGAGAGTTGTCTGTAGCCTACCTAAGCTCCGCTTTTTCAGTTCAATCCAATCTGCAGTGGGATTAGAGAGCAAGTCGGCGTGGGGGCAAAGGCAATAACATCCGACTCTACTTTCTTTAATCCGACTCTACTTTCTTTAATCCAACTCGGCACTGATTCAATCAGGAATTGAGAAGCAACGAGGAGTTGATGGAACACTTTAAGAACCATTCTTAAAGGGAGCTTATAATAGAGGTTAAACCTTAACCTCTAATAAATTTAAATATTAAAATTAACTTTATCAAAAATTAGGGAAACAATAAATTGTTATACTCGGTTCACCCAATAAATTGTTATACTCGGTTCACCCAATAAATTGTTATACTTGTCACACCCAAGCAATTGTTATACTTGGTTCACCCAATAAATTTATTGCTTTGTTTTTTAAAAACTGATATGATAAAAGTTCCAAGCAATTCGTTTTATAAAAGAGTTTTCGAAAAAACCGCATTAATTAATCTGTTCAAAGTTTGTTTTAATATGTTGAAATAGCCGTTATAATCTGTTAAAAGTCCTTTCAACCCATTAATGCGTTCTTGTTCTTTAACAAAATTGTTTTAGCCGATACGACCAAGTTTTTATCAGCTTAAAACTTTTTACAAACATTTTCTAAGAGTGATTTAATCGATTGATTCGCGATTTAATCGATTGATTCAGTTTAAAACTTTCTTATAACACTTTTCAAGTTATTTTAACTGATACAAAAAAGTTTTAATCGATTAAAAACCTGCACGTAATTTTTTCTAAGTCATTTTAATCGATTGAAATGTGTTTTAATCGATTGAAACTCGTACAAAAATTTTCAAGTCATTTTAATCGATTGAAATTTGTTTTAATCGATTGAAATAAGTCTGATCGTTCATAATTCAATTCTGATCGATCATAACCAACTCTGATCGGTCATAATTACATTCTGATCGATCATCCTGACTTCCAAAGTGGTTTTAATCGATTAAAACGTGTTTTAATCGATTAAAATAAATCGAGCGAGATCATACTTTGCTAGTCGCTCGAGCGAGATCAGTTCGCTCAAGCGAAAGCCAACCCGATGATGAAAATTATGTGCAGTGTCTTCGCTCGAGCGAGTTTAATGTCGCTCAAGCGAAATATAACTTGTAATAGCGGTTAAACCATAACCGCTATCTAATATATACTTTAAATAGCGGTTACATGAGGAACCGCTATTATATCCTCCAATTATGATCGATCATTTCAAATTATGATCGATCAGGATCGCTTTTCGCTCGAGCGAGATATAGTCGCTCGAGCGAAATGCAACCCGAGACTGAATCTTAAAATATTTTTTTGAATATTATGTTTTTAAATTTGCTATTAGAGAAAACCTTTCAGAATTCAAAATGTTAAATACTTTTAAATATTAAAATTAACTTTATCAAAAATTAGGAAAACAAAATTTATCCAAAAGAGTTCAAAAATGTATAAGAGTATTCTCAATTTTGAGTTTAATTATATTGTTCATTTTCAAAGTAGAAATTTATATTGTAGTTATTTAATTTACATTTTGTGATCTTCTTAAAATTAGCATCAATAACATTAGACTTTACATTTGATTCATACCTAACTAATTATAGATTAAAAGGAAAGTGGTATAACCATGCATTTTACTTTTCTATTTACCTTATTCTTTTAATTATTTTATATAATAATAATCAAAATATTCACATTCATATGGGCATTTTCGAAAATAATATTATTCTATTATTGTTAAAATTAACATCAATAACATTACACTTTATCACTTCTTAATTATTATTCTATTTTCAACTGTATTTTATATTTGTTTTAAACAATAATGTACAATTATATTATTAGTTTTCATAATTATTTGTTATTATCAAGTCAATATTAATTATTATTTTATATTTTATAATTATTTAATTATTAGTCAAATAATTTATTTAATATGTCAACATTATTTGAAT